TCAAAATTTTCAGGCGGAAATTTCCGGAGGTCATGTGATATTCCGTAAATCGACGCCTAATTAAATTTCCTGATGTATTATCCACTTCACCTGTTTCTATATTACCCATTTCTCTTATTCTATACTACACACTTTTTCACTTCTATTACCCACTTTTTCCATTTCTATATTACCACTTCTATATTACCCATTTTTCCACTTTTATATTATCCACTTTTCCTACTTCTATATTATCCACTTTTCCCATTTCTATATTAACTCACTTTTCCGCTTCTATATTATTCACTTTTTCTGTTTCTATATTACCTACTTTTCTATTATTACCCACTTTTATATTACCTAATTCTCTATTATTACCTACTTTTTCCATTTTTATACTATTACCTACTTCTTTCGTTTCTATACTATTATCCAATTCTCACTTTTCACAACATTCCCAATCATAATTCTGAAAAACACTGGTTGAAAATTGATAAATAATACACATATTGAATATCCGATATATGCATGGTACGTCTCTAATATCGGGCATATTTCGGATATCCAATATGTGTAGAAAATATTTTTTTGCACTTATCGGATACTCGATATATATATAAAATATTTTTTACACCTATTGGATACCCGAAATATGCCTGATATTAGGGACGTATCATGTACATATCGGATACCCGATATGTGTATTATTTATCAATTTTTGACCAGTGAAAGAAAATAAGTGTTTTCTTATTTTATTTAAGAATAAGTAAGAGAAGAGGTAAGTAAGTTGTTTTTATTTTTTTTTAAAAAAATATTAAACAAAAATTAATAATAAATATACTTATCTATTTTTACGAATCTAACATGTCACGGGAACGATATTCCCAATTTCAATTCTGAGAAAGAAGAAAGTGTTTTCTTATTTTACTTAAGAGTAAGTAAGGGAAGAGGTAAGTTGTTTTTATTTTTTTTAAAAAAAAAAAATATTAAAAATTAATAATAAAAATACTTACTCATTTTCGCAAATCTAACATGTTGTGGGAATGACATTCCTCAATCCCAACTTCAAGAAAGAAGGTAATTGTTTTTTCATATTACTTAGGAGTAAGTAAGGAAAGTGTTTTCTCATATTATTTAGGAGTAAGTAAGGAAAGAATAATTAAGTTGTTTTTTTAAAAAAAAATATATATTAAAAATTAATAATAAATATACTTACCTATTTTCGCGAATCTAACATGCCATGGGAATGACATTCCTCGATCCCAACTCCAAGAAAGAAGGTAAATGTTTTCTCATATTACTTAGGAGTAAGTAAGGAAAGAGTAATTAAGTTATTTTTTTAAAAAAAAAATATTAAAAATTAATAATAAATATACTTACCTATTTTCGCGAATCTAACACTGGTCAAAAATTGATAAAACATACATATATCGGGTACCCGATATGTGCATGGTGTGTCCCTAATATCGGGCAT